CAGTGAAGGATAAGAAATCCACCCTCCATTGACGGAAAGGGTCGAGACTAGAGCTGAGAGGCCAAACCAAGCAGTTTTTAAAAAGTAGGCAAGTGGTGCAAGCAATGGATGCAACACATCTATCCATTTTGTTGATGATGAATAACGAAACGCTCACCTTCCACTCTACTTTTTGTGAAATTGGGAGAAAGTGTTCCACCTCGTGCCTAATTTGCTCGTGTTGCTACGTTGCTGTGGAAGGACTCTGAAGACACCGCAACATTCTTTTTGCAAGATATAGGCCATTCACATCGAAATGTTCCCTTCATCGTGTGAGGGAAGAAAAGCAGAAGCACCATAAACTGAGGAAATAGTTTTGAAACTGATTCTTCTCACATCATTAGCCACAAAATCCACAATAAGTACTTTTATATTACAATAATAAGAACATCCCACAAAGTGATAAACAAAATACAAACTTTTCTGTTGACTTAGACAAATTTTCAGAACATGAAAATATACGTTATCACAAGCTATTAAATCGGTCTATACAAGTTCGCTTAGGTAAACTATGAACTGATTTGAATACAGTAACTATATCGGAATGTTTTGGGCAACTCACACTCCCGAATTACCAGCTGATGTAGCAATTTCAAGCTGATTGCGTTGATCGCTGGTCGACTGATACAGCAACAGGGCAAAAATCACCGAAAAGTGAATCATGACGAAAAACGAACGACATAGATTGCTAAAATAATATTGGAATATCCTCCTCATGCGCTAATAGATTCTTTGGCTCATAGTTCTCGGGCTCGTTGTTATATTCGATTTCAATTCCAGCTGCAGCACGTTCTGCTGCCTCGATTTCCTTCTGCTTCTTTTTGTTTGCTTGAATTTTTTTCATTCTGAAATATTTCAGAGATGAGTAATAAGCTCGATCCTGAAACTCTAACTCTTCACTCATACGAAGTTACACTATACTCGGAGCTTCACAATGGCACACAACACCGATCAGCTTCTCGTTGCCGCCAAACAAAAGTTCACCAACCTCTACTCAGCGAGAGATAGGGCCAAATGAAGGCGTAGAATTCACAGCAAATCACTACTGAGAGCTTAGACTTTCATAGAATCGGTGTTCGATTACCAATGTTCATCGAAACCTACTCCGACGCTGACGTGCCAGTGAAGCTCGCGTTAGCAGGGCGGACGTTGGGTGTTACTGGCACGATCGCATGGGCATGAGGAATCATTACAGAACGCGAAACCACATCTTTAACAAACAACGTTTTCGCTACGGAACTAACAAGGGAGGTCTTTCAGGACGTAGAGCGCTTCTTCAAAACGGTTTCCTGCAATTTGTAGAGACTAAGGCGAAGAATACAAAACCACGGTCCTTTTTTCCTGAGCGCTTCTAGGAAGGTCAAAATAGTGAATAAGTGATGGTCCAAAGCTCGATCCTCCGCAGTGACCAATTTTTGCAATCCAGGTTGGCGCTTCTAGATTGCCGCCAAATGACGCCAGCGACAAGTATAAATTTATTCCAGTGATTTGGCAGCAATTCGGAGGCACATAGATAAATTGCAAAAATTTGTCACCAGAGGATTATACTTTGAATCATTTTCTCACCAGCGTTTTGACGTTCCTGAAAGCGTTCGGGGAAAACGAACCATGGTTTTGTGCTACTCTCAAGAGTCTCTACAACATGCAAGAAACCATTTTCGGAGACACGCTCCATATTCAAAATAGCCTCCTTGTAAAAAGTAGGATCGCGGTGCGGCTCCGAGAGTGGAGCAGCAGATCCACATGGATGACACCACACCGTTCAGCTACACGCAACATTGTAAGACACAGGCTATAAGGGTTCTAGGATTTGAAGGGCCGATTATTCGACGACTCTCCCGAAACGTATGTACGGCCCAGCGGGGCTATTGCTGGTGCTGAATATGCTGTTCAAGTTACGCATTCGCCGAGGCGCGACGCCGCGTTTCGCCGTGACGCCACATACGCCTACTACAACAATGACTCCTGCGTTCGCAACTCCTCGACAATAATGCCCATCAACTGATGAGCTGACCATGGGGTTGCGACAAACTAGTTATTCCATAATTATCTGCTCACTAATTGGTTTTTGAAAGCGAATAGTCTCAACACAATGTGAATTACCACTTCACTCACTAATGGTTATTAACCGTCCCTAAATTCTACTATTTTTACTTCGAATCAGAGGAAAAAAAATTCCCAGAAGGAAGGTGGAAGAAAAACACATGTACTTATCGTTTCTAAAGCCAGATTCACTCTCTTAAAAAGTAAGAAAGTAAATTGAAAATTGAATTAAAAGTAAAGGAAAGCACCTGAAGAACTCTTCTCTTTCCATTTCGTCCAATTCCGTAACAATGTAATTGATTGTGTTTTCAATACGAGGAATAATCACTGAAATAAATTTGATGAAATCCCTCCCACAAGGCATCCAAAAACCATTACGATAACGCTTTCACAGTACACTAATTCACCATTTAGAAAAACCAAACGGAGAGCTTTTTCGATGGAAGCACCTTGGTCACTTCTAAC